TCTTGTAATATATGAATTATTCTGATCATTACCAAGCATTGACGGTATTTCAGCTGTTTGAGGAGGTTAGCTTCTTACAGAATAGAGAAGCATTCTGTTGAACGTTTCGAATAGTTGAAGCATCTCGAAAATGCCATCTGGACAATGTCGAACAACTGGCATAACTTCTCTTTTAGCACAAAATTTCTTCGGCTTTATGACAACAGCTTGGTCCTAACAAATGTGCCTTGTACAAGACTTGACACTAATTCATTTGGATATTACACCTACGTCTCCCTCATCTTTCATAAAACAAAACACAGTAGAACAGCCCCTGCTGGTAGCATGTCCAACTATCTACTTCATGGTAGCTCAGGGATGTGCAAACTTTCTGGATATTTCTATAATTAGGTGTATAGACGACTATTGATATTGTTTATTCTCGGTTGTATAAGCGAGAGTGACATCTTGGGCCAGGCCCTTGTTCGTCTCTATAACACGAAGCAAAGCGAAGAACCCTAAAGCGAAGCGAAGTTGAAGAAAAAAAAAAAACAGACCTTAATAATTGAGTTACAATATCTTAAAATAGCAGAGCTTATTCTACATAGATGAGGCACTTTCACGGAATCTGAAAATAGATGGCGGTGATTGTAGTTTAAGCATAGGTAAGCGATTCATGTCCCATTATAGCGGTGTCTACGGTATCCTTGGTTTATTGAGCTACAGACAAGTGGACTCTATGAATGCCCAATCTTGAAAATCCCTCCGTTTTTTTTTATACGATGCTGATGTGATCAGAGAGCAACCTCTTACAAAATACTACTACTAATGACCACCCCGTGTGAGCTTGCAGCAGGAAATATGCAAGGGACAGCTCATATCATTCGTCTCGGGATATATATGGAGACAGGTACCACAAGTAGCATCATCAGCTCCTCACCGACGTAGTGGCGAGAAATGCGTTGTACAGCCAAGGGGTGAGAAAGCATCGGTGTCAGCAGTCAGAACACAACTGAGCAGAGACTGTGAGCCATGGATAGCCGGTGAGGCTGGGCCCGGCTGCTCCGCCTGCATGTCCCATTGGTCCCGAATCCCACGATATCAAGAGCTGAGAGGGTGAAAGAGACCCTTACAAACACTCCTTGCGCAGCTCGTAGTCTCGATTGACTAGACTAGGAGCCCTAGGAATACATACATACGTATCCAGTCCACGATGGAGGAGATCCAACGTGGCTTCGATTGAAGGGCATCGCTATCGTGGCAATATGGAGCACTGTTACGTACGAATACTGCGTACTCCCTACTAGTATAAATGTTAGTAACGGCAGGAGTAATACGGAATAATAATAGCAGCGATATGAAAGCAAACAGGCATATCTATTGGAGCAGAGGCTATCGACGCAGCCCTAGAGTTCAGGGAGCTGGGCCGTGAGTCTGCACGTGCCATCCGCGAGACAAGAATAGCCATCATAGACGCCAAACCTGCCGGACAAAGCGAGATTGGCTTCTGGATCAGCGGGATTCTGGACAAGTCGCGGTCACAGAGGGATCCTCGTCCATCGGATGCTCAGGTACAGGTAGGGCCTCGTCAACGAACGGTGTTAGTTCAGGTCTTCCGCTTAAGTCGTCACCCTTCCCTTTCAGGCGGGACGGGCCCCCGTGTCTCTGCTTGACTAGGGTTGAGATGAGGTGCTACGGCATGGTGTCTCCTGGGAGCGACTGGGGGCTTCCCTGTCCGCTCGTGGATTTGAAGGCTTGAGGGATAGACAGACGGCAATCCAGTATGTAGGGAAGCAGTTGGAAGACAAATCACGAGATATAAGAAGCAATTATTCAAAGTTATGCTCGTGCTCAGCCAGCACCATTTTGGGTGGACTCTCCCTTTAGCATGTATCAAGGTGATTAATCGTAGCCAGGGGCCCCAAGGCAGCTGGTGCTACGGCAACTCGTAACAGTGCTAGCACTTTCATGGGCCATGGCATTATGCATTGAAACTAGTAGCAGTAGTACCACCAGCACACACACGTTTGCGGTGCCTTGGCGTGATCAAGCAAGCTCATTCATTCAATGTATCCATCAGCTCCGTACCCGTCCATAATCGAGATTTCGATGGCAAGGGGCAAGTCAGGAGAAAGGCTTCGGAGAAACGGGGCGTTTCGTGTCGTTAATCGCATTCGGGGCAGCTGCTCAAAGCGGGAACAGGCGAGCTGGCAGAAGAGCCCTTTGATTGCACAGTAATTTGATACGCCCGTCCCAGTTCCCTGCTTATTAGCCGCAGATGCGGGCAGAAGCGAAGGGGGCGCCATGCTTGTACCAATATGCGGGTGGGACGCAGCTGGTAACGTAGCTCGTAAAAAAACACGGAGTAATCGGGAGCAGTCGTCGCATCGAATGCCATCGGCGTGATTGCCATATGCTGTAAGGCGATGAGGAGAGCCAATGGTAGCCATGGCCATGACTTGTATTTGTTCTCTAGGCTTCGCAGCCGGGAGAATGCTCGACACAAAAGATAGGAGGCCGAAAGACGGTACTTTGCAGCTCCGCAGTAGCACTTTGTGCTCCGTATTCGAAATGAAGCCGGGTTGTGGAGAACAGAGTCGTAATTGGCCTGGGGTAGTATGTCATGATGCCAAAATAGGAAACGCACATTACTACGGAGAACGTCCTTTCGCTGGATGTGCGTGATGAAGGAGCGTAAGTACAGTTATCAAAACATGTGTGGTCCTGCACATCTTGTAGATGTTGGTAGTTCTTGGACCGGCAGCCGTGGATACATAATAGAGTACGGCCACGAGGATTTGTTCATTTCATGCAATAGGCTTTTTGTTGGTTGCAGTAGCTGGACACGGCTTGCAGACAGCCACGGCCGGACGGCTAGCTTTGAAATCTACTTGTAGTACTTGTCATCTGGCAGAGAATCGGCGACTGGCTTGCGCCAACGAGGCCACACTAGTAACCCCTTAGATCTGACGGCAATATTGGCTCGATAAAATTGCGCCAGGCCTAGAAACTCTTGTGTGGAGGGAGTGCTCCGAGGCAACTTTCGCAATCTGCTTCCTCCGATCGGATCTGGGGATCGCACCGAAGGGGGTCAAGCGTTTTTAATTCAAATGATATTATGTCAGTGCCAAGTTGGTGGGAAGCACAGCAAAAGTCGGTATGGAAGTCGAAGGATGCTGCATGTTGAGGCGCCGCACATCCTTTGGAAAACATCCCCCCAACACCACCGATGCAGCCGTCTCATTCCGCCTCGTTTTGGCCCCCTCCGCATGCCTGAAGACGAATTTGATAGTAGTCTGCTGGGCTGGGAAAAAAAAATGGCTACTCGAGGCCGCAGTGCGGATCATAGACCACCGAAGAAATCGTACGTTTTATTCGGTCTTGTTTCGAGACGATCCCCGCAGCTTGCCAGAGCTCAGCTGAAATCTAGCCTTATCTGACTGGTGGCGTCGTGGCTAATTTATGCTGCATTGTCAGCCAGGCTGTGATAGGGCAAAAAGTACCAGTACGTTTCTCCATGTCCTGCTTTCATCACCGATAAGAGCTCTCATAGGCTAGCACACACGACAGCTGACGCCGAGCCTTTCCTATCACTGGCACAATTTGGCATTGCCTCAGGGAGATGGCATTCCAAGGGATATGGCCTCAGAAAGACCGGACTGAGCGATTGGCGCAGTAAATAGCGATATGGCTGCTGGCCATTGCAACAGTATTCTTATGCTATCATGCAGAGCATCGGAGGGAATATTGCCAATCGACACCAGCTGAACAATGCATGGGCAAGCTCGCAGCTCGGGGGTGGTATTCCATCGTCAAATCACCAGAAACGACTTCCCTAGGGCCAACAGGGCCCTAGGAAGCCGTCTATGCAACCATATCTGAGACGCCGGCGTCGTGCCGGGCCCGAAAACGTCTCTCGACAAAGCAATTCGATGCGAATGGCACGATCAGAGGCACTGGAGATGCATTGTCGCTTCAATCGTCGGTGTTTGCAAGGTTGAAGTTTTGCGAGCCCTCGATTTTTCACCGTAACTCTCATTTTTTCCGCATCGGCGTGCCTGGACTCGGCAAGCTGCGGGGACCGCCTTCCTTGGTTGGCCACCTTCTCGTAATAGTCCATACATACGGCAGGTACGGAGCACCACTCTTGGCTCCGTAAAGAGTGCAAGTGCGGACGACGCCGCATGTACGTACTGCTACCACCTACTGCTTGTACCGCTACTCGTGCTGGCAACCCGTGCTCGAATCTGCTCCCTCACATGCATCAACGATTTTTTTTTTCTCGGCTCCTCCTTTGCTCCATTTAGCACGCCTGGACCGAGACTTGGGGCCACGATTTGCCAATTGGCGGAGCCAGACGGAGTTTAGAATAGGGCCAATGGGCTGCAAAAGTACTCGTAGCTAATCTTGCACAATTGGGTGGAAGGGTTCTTCTATGCGAGATATTCGCAAGTATGCTCTAGCTTCGTTGATACTGCGTACAGGCACCAATGCTCGGTGTCCAATTCCTCCATTCTAAGCTCCTAGTAACATAATTCTAAGCTGTACGATTAGGGGATGTACTAGGCAGTACTTTGCAACAGAGAAGTCTGGACTAAAGAATCAGTGGATATGGATGCTTCATTGGCGTACTGTCGCTTGCTAGACGTCATTGCCAACTAGTCGGGCTTCCACAGCAGTCTCGCCCCTCTAATAATGGCGTCCAACAAAGAGGCCTTTTTTCTTCCAACAGCCACGCCTCGCGCCTGTCGCCTAGCTGCATCCTAGAGCTCAATTAGAGGCGAATGCGACATCACCGAAGCCCGAGAATACTTACTCTGTAGTTAGGCATTAGACCCCTCCGCAGCAGTTGAAAGCTTACTTGCCCAAAGTTGAGCAAACGCCAACGCTTGGCTTGACATGACAAGGAACAGGCTTCAGCATCTTTAGACTCGGCTTGACCAGGCTTCACAAGGCCCCACGCATTTTTTACGCTATGTGGCTACGAAATCGGAATGGCGTTAGTATCCAATAGCTGCCGCTTATACCGTGGCCTTTTCGCGTCCATGTTCATCTTTGTATCTAATGGGGGCTTGATCCTTGCGTGTTGCAGTTGGTGTATGACCATGTAGCACTTGTAAATCTTTGATGTTGCTAGAAGAAACTGCATACGAATTATGAGTAGTGCATCCTCCTTTCCCCCGGCATTCCCATAAGTAGGTAGCCACTACAACTACCTAGTATAGCAGTATCTTGGACAATCTGGCTTATGTATTGCAATACCTACTACTAGTAGTATGTACACTATATCTAAACTTGTGCTAGATTATGGAATTTCACCCAATCACTCAAAGGTGGGACTGTCGAAAGAAAAAAGTCATTTTCTTTTCGTCATGTTAGGAAGTTGCCGATACTGCCACTACTATCAAGTATTCACATATCATCGCTGTAGAGTCCGTGTGGCCATCATATATGGCAGTGTTCACTGCATGGCCTAAATCTCAAGGCATTTTTCACGCTCATCTTGACACTTGTCCTATGCTGCACGAGTGCGCCGAGCTTATAATCAATCATCTGCAGCATGCTCAACTTGCCTTTCCGATGCAAGGCCGACGCTTAGCCCCACGCACCTGGGGACCTGATCCGAGATTCCAGTCCAATGGGGCCCCTGGCGTATCGCGCTCTTGCATACATATTGTACATGTCCTAGCCTGAGCTGCTCCGTAGAGGGGCAGACGCGACGCAGTAGCACATGGTCGCGCCTCGAATCGGCGACTAGCTAATGTAATTGGCAGACGGACATGCCAGTCTGCCTATTACTACATAGTATATGTACGCATATGCGTCAGCGAGGCACCCGCAACAAGCCGGGCCCGAACGTATGCACATACATTTAGAGGGGCGTTGCTGCGAACCATACAGTAGTAGTTCGTGGTAGAATCTCCGCGATTGGGAGAGAAGAAAATTTTTGGCAAATGAGGGGAGGCAATAACGTTGTGTAGTGGCTTTTTAAGCTATGCACGGAGTACATCGGCATACTCACACGTGCTTCCTTCCCGTGAGAAGGCATTCGGATTGAGTCGAGATGGATTAGCTTCTGATAGCAGTAGTAGGAATCTTACTGCCTCAACCGCAGCTGCACACGCACGCATGCACGCACACGCTGGAAACACGGCGCTGATGGCTCACGGCCGACGGAGTGCCGGCCACCGCCGGGCTTTAGGCGCGTGGCTGACGGTGGCCCGGCGCTCCGGCTATTCTTCTCGGGGTCGCACGCGCGCGACAACCCCGGAGACCGGAGGCGTCCTTTTACCTCGCGGCTGGGGGTGACGAGTCTGGCTGGCGTTTGCCTCATCGCGTTGCTAGCCATTATGAGAGCGTGTCGTGGCGGCGGCTATTGTCTTTCAGCATGGGGAATGCTTGTGCAGCTAACATGGCTGCCGGGTTCTGCTGCAAGCGACATCCTTGCTACCTAATAATCGTCACCTACCCAGGTATTCGCCCGCTACGAACGCCCTTGCTCATCGTATTATGGAGTATGCGCGCATACCTGCAAGTATTCGCACCTCTCATTCCCGTAAAGTTTACCGTCGACCATTGATTTGGCTACTGCTAGTATAACATGAGACCGTCTCGCAGCCATTACTCTAATCGGCTGCCCATGTTTTATCAGCAACTTGGCTTATTTGACCAACATAGCGCAGATACACCAAGGCCATCTCAAAGTCTGTAGCCGCAAAAGAGACACCCCAATGGGCACTGCCGCTTTGGGCACCCGCCGAGGCTACATCAAGCATGCACACTTGTACATACATGCACGACGCTATTCATCAGAATCTTCAACAGCGGTGAACGCTGCATATTGCTATACTATTAGTGGCATGGGGGTAGTAGATGACAAGCCCGACAGGGTAAAAGCTGTCACGACGCACTGACATTTCGTGGCACCACAGAGGGGAAAAAATATATTGCTTTTTCACCGCGGAAACCGCTCTTTTTTTTTAATAGTGGAATGGCGGCTACCAATCGGCAAAGGAAGTTTTTTTTTTCTTCTCTGTCCTCCACAAGCTTACGGGTCAATATGGATGCTTCGGGAAGACCGCTTTTTTTTTTTTCCTTCACGCCAGCTCCCCACGTAGCAGCCACTCGGTATACCATTTCCCACTTCCTTTATCTGCATGTGTGACGAAAGAAGCGAACGGTGCAAAAATGCTCTGCATGTATCCGTAATAGGCTTATGGAGGTTCACAATTGCGCATTTTTGGATCATTTCCCCAAAGACAATAAAACGCTGCTGCCTGCAGTCAGTCGGCTGCACCAGCACGATTCGGATTATACGAGATTGCTCCAGGAGCGCCGAGATGCAAACGCGTACAAGCATGTAACAAATTGCCCTTTTTGCCCTTCATTCCTTTGTGGCTCATATTTTTGGGGTCCCGATCTAATGGGACTTGGGTTGGCACCAAGTGCGGAGTAGATACATCGTGCCCGAACAAACTACCTTTGGTAGAAAGATATCTACTATACATACACATCTTTGATGTTAGCTTGGGGGGGTTTAAGGTAGGGCCTCTTAGTAATGCAAGGACAAATGTTTGACGCCTCTTGTTCCCTGCCGCGGATACTTTGCATGTACGGAGTGGGATGAACAGGTTCCATATAACGACCCGGCAAAAGCGCTTGAAGCTCCGGCGTACGGGAAGCTCTACGTAGTTGATACAAAGTCTTAGACCCGATGGGGCGGATGTAAAGGCCCCCCATGCCATGAGACTAGTCGCCCTGACACGCTTAGTCGTTCGTTTGGTGCTTCAGAGAGTTTTGCGTTCCCTTTGTCACATTACGATTAAGAATCACACAAGGTATAAGAAGGTGGGAATAACAAATGAGAGTCACATGAAGTTTGCATATCACTTGATAATCAATTATCACGTTCAATGCTCCAGTAGAGCTGCAGCTCCATCACAAAAAGAATACATACGTTTGCTACGTAAGAAAAACAAAAAACGGCGGATTTGTAGAGCAAAGCTTCCCCACCGCCTTTAAGCAAACGCCACAAAAATACGGAGCAAGGGTTCAATTTGCATTGTTTCCTCTTTGGGAGAGCTTTTCAGCCTCGTTTTCGTCTGACCTTTCCAAACCAGGAAATCTTCTAGAACGAGAGAATGGCGCTCCCCCACTTTTTCCTTTTTGCACTGCCGTAGTAGTACACCATAACAGATTTTTAGTGCACGGCTTTGTGCTATGAATAGTACCGATTTAAACATTTAGTGCTGGGCATTATAAGTTTTTTTAATGCGTGTGCACATGCAAAGTAGTAGTAGTAGCTTTTGTTCTGCACAGGCAGCATTGTGCAACATGCATGCATCATGTAATATCTCTACGCCCGTCACAAGAAGAAAAAGGCAAGATCCATGCATGCATATGCAGTCACATACTTAATCCTCGGCATCTCTCCGCCAAATCCGTCACCCAACGCTCAACCAAAAGAGAGAAAATTTGCTTTGAAAATTTTCATTCTCCGGACAACGAGCCGCAATATCCACCGCCTCTCATCAATTTTTTTTTTTTTTTTTTTCAATTTTTTTTTGCCGTTCTGTCTTTACGATTCCGCCGCAGACGCGTTAGCGCGGCCCAGTGGTTCCCTCTCGTCGTTGGACACAATACGGAGCCACTACTGCTAGTTCCCTGAGATGGGACGACCCACACAGGTCAGCGATTTCACGCCCCCAAGCCAAAACTACCGGCAGTGAGGGCCGCCAAGAGCAAGAATTGTTCATCACGGGCATCATCACAAGGGCATCTATCGTCGAAAGAGGAAGAATGAAAAAACTCTTCCCCCTCACTTAATACCAATCCACTTTGTAACGCTGGTCCGTCTCCCTACCTACGCCATCTGCAGGAGGCTAAGTGCATATGCATCTGTAACAGTTGTGTAAAGTGCTTGCATTCACAAAGCTCCCCTTTCCACCAACGTAGCATGAATACATCGTCACTAGCAAATTAGTACGCAAAAGGGCGAAAAGATAACCAAAGATTAAAAAAAAAAATCAGGAATGAAAGAAAATGAACATCAGCCACTTTTCTGTGTGTGAAATGTTTGATATACAGGAACATGTGATATTAGCAATGATTTCCTTTGAAACGTACATGGTCTCGCGGAACCCAAGGCCCGTTCATCCCGCTCATCCCTTCAAAGACACAGCCTCGTTCGTTGATTGCTGGTTCGCTGCGAAGTAATTTTCACGCTCAATCTCAAAGCCCTGAATCTAGGGATGCGGATGCAGCCGATAAAATATCAAGCACGGCGAGTTGTTCACCTACGGGTTCCGCCCAGCAGTATGTCAAAGGCGAAGGGTGTAAGTACATTAGTAGGTACTCTGTATGTACACCTGAAGAAGCAGCTCATCCAAAGGGTGGAGCCATCCCACTGGTACAGAAAACCAGGCTCTTGGTGACTTTCACCACCTATGGCAGCAGCGGAGAATCTTGGAATCCATTGAGCAGCAATGAGTTTCTGTTACTATCCTCCTCATTGGAGCTGCGAGGCTTCTGCGGTCCAACAGTGCTAGCATCTACTTCCAGGTAATAGTGGTACCGCTGCGGCGGAGTAGCTAAAGCATCGGATGGATGTCCCCACTCAAAAGTGCCGATATATTCTGGTAGGGCGTTTGCCTAGCAAGTTAGCCCTCGTTCAGACGTTTTGGTAAGGATCAATTGCTCATAAAATATGGATTTCCTTCATATCGCATTGCTGAGACTTCATTTGCTTTTAGGCAAGCACTGCTCCGTATGAGCGAAGGGGCTGTCGTCTCCCTACTGTACGTCGAGTCGCACGACGGCCATTTAGGCGATATTGGACAGTCGCAATTTACGAGCATATGCAGGCGGCCGCCACTCTTGGCCAATCGAGTGCGCCACTGAGCCTAGCTTGAATCCTGAAGATCTCGGCGAATAGGAGAAGATGTACATGAAACCAAGAGGGATCTACTTAATCTGCTTTTGCAAACTCTGCTACTCCTTCGTGATCAGCCAAAAAGCGCGGGGGGGAGCAGCGCGGTGCGTTTTAATATAGCGGGCTTGATCAAATGCCCAATGGTAGATGGAGGATTAAGCCATTGCTGATGTTATCCAAAGTGGCCATCTCCGCCTCGATCTTCTTGTGGTTCAAAAAGGAGGATCGGCCTATGACTGCAGCTACAGGATCGGCTGTCTTTCTCGCGAGGGCGATTACCTCATGCGGATATGGGGATCGTCGCTGGTAAATTTCGGAGCTAAGGCTTGCCGGCAGAAAACCGCACGTATGCATGTAGAAACGGACATAGATCGCAAAGGCCGCTCTTAATCAAAGGCATCAGAAGCAACTTTTAGCGTGCCTTTTCGGTATCGATTATCGTGCGTCAACCCGCTGCTGAGTGAGATCCGTCTGCAAGAAAGGGATGTTCTCTTTTAGAGTGGCGAGATCTTCCTGCGCGTCAACTATGCGCTGCGTGAGCAGTATGTACAATTTAGGTATGCGTATGCAAGCCGGCGCTGCTGGGAAGCCGTGATTGGAGACGCCTCGGAATCTGCCAAGCCAAAGTAGCCGGGAGATTGGGATTCTCACGACACTAGGTAGGCAGAATTTCCAGCATGGTATCATCAATAACGTCAGACTGCCGTGGCCTCGCCCTCGCGTTGGTTCGCTGCGTTCCTGAGGTCCACTGATGAGGGGTAATATCAAAGAGGGCATTTGATGGCTGGCTGTCAAGACCAAGACTCAGCCTGAAATTGAATGAAGACGACCATGACTGGTTCGTGTTGAGCCTCCAGAAATTTGACGTGCAGCACTCGTCTCCACTCAGCCTTTTCTCTCCTCTTTAGCGATATGGATGGGCAAGGAGGATTGTTGTAGCATAGTGCTGATGTGTTGGTGGGTTGTATTTGGGGGTTTCAGCAGCAGAGAAACCGCGTTGTCGCGTTTAATTGGGTGCTGCGGAGATGGGCGGCGCGTTGAGCATTGATTAAATCTCACACCCAGACAAAAGCTCCTCTCCATAAAAAGCTAACCAAGAACGCGCGCCTCGACTTTAAATACCAAGAATGGCCAAGGCCAGAAATCCATTTCGCGTTTGCCTTTACGATGGCGCCAAAGCTAACTTGCCAAATCCTAGTGAGAGCGGTCGATCTTTGAGGCTTGGTGCCGGTCGTGTTTCCCCTCCTGGAAACATGTCGTGCTTCGGGGAGAAGAAAAAAAAAAAGATAGGTCGTCTCCCTTGCGGAGTAAGCGAATCTGTAGTAGCATGTCATGCTCTCGAGAGCTAAATGGCCAGGCATGTTTAATACAGAGACGGCAGTGTTCTAAATACGGGCGTCCATGATGCGCGGCACGAA